TCTGCATAGCTTAGTGGTCAACCAATGACTGAACAGAGGTTGTATTCAAATATCTCAGCCCTTCAAGCTTCTGTCCTCTGCCAATGCATAGGAGAATACATTCAAAGTTTAGGCCACAAAACCATGTCTGCCCTGGCTTTTACTTTCTGCTGGGCCCATTTCCTGTTCCTGTGCACATTTATGCAGCCTCAGGATCAGTCCTCATGGTTTATCCCACCCTGGCAGAACCTTTGCACCTGATCAAGCAAAGAGGGGACACTGACAGCAGCCCTGGTCAAGAATGCCAGAAAGTACCACTGTTCTTTCCCAGAGTTCAGCTGTTTTTTTTTTTTTTTTTGGTTGTTTTGTTTTTTCAGATGAAGTCTCGCTCTGTCCCCAAGGCTGGAGTGCAGTGAGTGGCATGATTTTGGCTCACCGCAACCTCTACCTCCCAGGTTCAAGCAATTCTCCTGTCTCAGCCTCCTGAGTAGCTGGAACTGCAGGCACCCATCACAACACCCAGCTAATTTTTGTATTTTAGTGGAGACAGGGTTTCACCATATTGGTCAGGCTGCTCTTGAACTCCTGACCTCAGATGATCCACCCACCTTGGCTTCCCAAAGTGCTAGGATTACAGGCATGTGCCACTGTGCCTGGCCAGTTCAGCTGTTTTTTTAAACATAAACACCTTTCAGATTGTTGTATCCTTTGATCCATCTCCAAAGCACTGAAATGACTGGTTTTTCAACAAATCTAACTTCATACTTTTTGGGGGAAAGAAACTCTGCCAACTAACTCATGAAGCCACAGCCACTCAAATCTGAGAATACTCACAGTAAATATTTTTTTCCATAGAATGTAGTCAAGTGCAACTGAAATATTAAATTATTTATTTACAACATTTGTTGCCCAATATGTAGGAAATTCCACTCTTGGACTTTAACCAAAACTTCTATTTCTTCACTTTCTTTTTTCATTATTTCTAACTTTTCTTTCAATCACGACTTATTAATTCAATTCTTTGTATGATAAATATCAATTGATTGTCTAATATTTGCCAGTCCACTACTTTTTTTAGAATTTTTCACCTGTGTCAACAGCAGTAGCCTCATTCTTCATCAGTAGTCTTATAATTCCAATACATGCTGCATCAAATTGCTAATTACTGTGTCATAAATGTTCATCACTGACTATCAACAATAACAACATAACTATACATGATATCGCATGCCAGGCATTATTCTAAGTGCTTACGATAGGTTAACTCATTTAACTCACAACTCTATGAATAGCTACTGTTATCTCCACTTTATAGATGAGAAAATAGAAGCTCAGGGAAATTAAGTAACGTGTTTAAGATCATACAGGTAGCAAGTAGCAAAAACAAGATTTAAATTCAAGAACTCTGACTCTGGAATCCGTTCCTTAAGAACATTATAGGGCCGGACGCGGTGGCTCACGCCTGTAATCCCAGCACTTTGGGAGGCCGAGGCGGGTGGATCAGGAGGTCAAGAGATCGAGACCATCTTGGCCAACATGGTGAAACCCCGTCTCTACTAAAAATGCAAAAAATTAGCCGGACATGGTGGCACATGCCTGTAATCCCAGCTACTTGGGAGGCTGAGACAGGAGAATTGCTTGAACCCAGGAGGCAGAGGTTGCGGTGAGCCGAGAATGTGCCATTACACTCCAGCCTGGGCAACAAGAGCGAAACTCCGTCTCAAAAAGAAAAAAAAAAAAAAAAGAACAACATTATATTGCCTCATGAAAGTGAGATCTGCAAATGCTAAGAATCTATTATTTCACCTGGATAAGCATACATTTCAAAAGACTATACTAACAGTCTTTTACTTGAAACTATGTCTAGCACTCAAATTGAACCATACTACTTTTATTAAAGCTAATTGCTCAAAGAGTTTTTATATTAGCAGTTGTAACGATTTGTTAGGAAATGCTATTGTTATAAAACAAACTTCATAGGAATATCCTACATGTATCCAATCCACTTTTACGATCAGACAATTTATGTCTACTGACTGAAATGTGGATGGCATCAAACATTTTAATATAAATCTAATATTTCAAATATTTGTAAGAATTAACTGCAATGACAGCATTATATTTTAGTATTTCAGGAAACATATAAACATGTAAGTTCTTTTTCATTATAAACAAATGGCTTCTTTCTAAAACATTCATTTAAATGTGAAACTCCAAAGGTTCATATTTTGACTTTTACTAAAGTCAATTAGTTCATGAACTCCTCTATATATTTGCAAATATAAATCTATAGGCAAAAGTATAATTGTTTTACCCATGACTATCTTGCTTATTCTGCCATTTTAAAGGCTGGAACACGCCTCAAGAGCAGTTACACAAAGATTCTGCTGCTTAAGAAAATGTCAGCCAGTGGCGCATCCAAGATAATGAATCCAAGACAGTAGCTGCCAACCTCCTTTCTCCTGAAGAAGAGGCAACAGAGCCGAGCAATGACGGCACAAAAATTTGTTTTGGTCTTTTCCTCACATAATTTCTTAAAACTGACGAAGCAACTGTGTCATAATTAACTAAATGTACATGCTAAAGCACAAACATACATGCTCTGAGGGATTTTTTTAAGATTGCATTTAAAATGTAATTATGTTTACTTTAGCACCATTCACTTAATTCAGACAGATGACTGAACCAGGGGTACAGGAGATTATGAAATCTAAGAACAAAGCAAGGAGCTAAAAGACCAAAGAGTAGAAAATTTCCCCCAAGTAGAATAATTATTTCCATATAAATCATTTTGTGATTTTTTTTTAAGTGACCTCTATGACCTGTGAGGTAGTGGAAAAGGAAAGTCAAAATGACAAATTGCTAATCATGCCAAGAGACCCCTTTTCCCTTTCCTGATGATATTTCCTCAACATGAGTGGTAGTTTCCTTAGGCAGACCAATGACATAATGCTGATTGACTACACAAGCTATACATATCTGAGTTTGGGGGCTTAGCGTACCTTAAGCCTAGACTCCTTCACAGTGTAACTTCTAATAAAGACAAAAGCAGAACTTGATAACTTACTATGGGGAATTCTATTTTTAATATTATATAATAATGACTACTAAAAATAAAGAGAAACAAAAAATAGCAGTTGCTAGTTTTTCCTAAATTACTTACTAAAAATAATTTGAATTTATCTCATGCCACAACAAATAAAATGAAATCAAATGAATAGGTGCTCTTTTTTTCCCATTAGAATGAAATGTTTTATGTGTTGCTTCATTATCTCTTAATCTAAAGTGATCTAGGTATTCTCATGTCAGCATTTCCAACCTGATTGTTTCTTTATAGTTTACATACTCTGGGCAAATTAATCTTTCTGAAGTATAACTCTGAACGTTTTATTCTTCTCCACAAATTCCAAATCTCAAATTTTAATGAATTAAATATTATCACTCTACTCTTGTATTTGTGATGATAAAGCCCATAAGAGAACCCCAACTTACTTTTTTTTTTTTTTTTGAGACAGAGTCTCACTCCATCACCAGGTGCCAGGCTGGAGTGCAGTGGCACGACCTCGGCTCACTGCAACCCCCATCTCCCAGGTTCAAGCAATTCTCCTGCCTCAGCCTGCCGAGTAGCTGGGACTACAGGCGTGCGACACCATGCCCAGCTAATTTTTTTGCATTTTTAGTAGAGACAGGGTTTCACCATGTTGGCCAGGATAGTCTCCATCTCTTGACCTCGTGATCCGCCCACCTCGGCCTCCCAAAGTCCAACTTACTTTTTATACTCACCTACTACCCCTTCCTCTATTTATCTCTCTATTCCAGATAAATCAAACTTTGGTTTTCTAAACTGCGTCTTTAAGACTCCTTCCTTGCCTTTGTTCAAGCCATTCATGATACCAAGACTATTCTTCCCACATCCTACCTTGCCATGCTGAAATTCTAAGGCCCAGCAAAAGTAACATCCATTCCACAAAAACTTTCCCTAATACTACCACTGTATTGATTACATCCGTCTCCTTCTTTTGACTTGCCACAGTATTTTTTAAAACTCTTTGACAGCCTTTATCAATTTCCATGTGGTATGGTTATTTACATGTCTTACCTATGTAGCTTATAGCACTGTGCCTTGTATACAACATTTGTTGAATAAAAGCAAAATCACTCTTCAAGAGAATACTAGTTATCTTCTTAATATATTCTCCCTTGCCTTTTTTTGTTTTCCCTGATTTAAAAAAAAAAAAATGCATGTTTCATCATATAGTTTTAGTTCTTGATCTTTTTCAAAGAACTTTATCCATTCTATTTTTCATAAAAGTTTAAGGATCCCAGGCCTGCTTTTCCCTGCTGATAGCCCAGCAAGGGGCCTGTCACACCACAGTACTAACGACCCTCAATATACTCAGCAAAAATTCACTACACGAAACTAGAGGAGTAATTTAATTATGGGGAATCAATCTAAGAAGCTCACTGGGGTTCCAAATCTGTCTCTGGGACACTGAATTTTATCAATGGTCTCTTTCTTCAAAGCCACCAGAAACGTAATCACTGACACCAATGCCCAAGTTCTACCAATGATGAAGTATCTAACTTGACAAGATCTTCAAATATCTCTCTCCTAAGCAACCTGAGTGTCCATTACTGTTTATAAATAAGAATTAAAAATTGAAAATAGCCATTCAAATAAGGCTACAAAATGTGACTGCAAAATTAGAGAAGCCCCAGACAAGCTAAAAGCAATATCCAAATCACACATTTACACAAATATACAGAACCGACTAAATGTGAGCCCTGAATTTTGGGGGGAAAATTAACTCCAAGAAGTTTTAACTATACTTTCTGACCCCATCAATGGTTTGATGATAGCAAAAGCCTGAAAATACACAATATTAATTCTGAATGCATCTTTGTTTTAGGTTAAATGGGTTTTTCTTGCCTCAAACTAATCTCTTTTTTAAGGTTTTGGAGGTATGGGCTCTGCTAATCTGAATGGTTGATAAACCTGGCCAATAGGTCAATTAAATTACCTGTTGAATGAGTGAGCGAGCCTCTTCAGAGATACATTCTGGCATATTCAAAGTAGTGTGAGTATTTATTCCTGCTGGATGGCATTCAACCAGAGTCTGAAACAATCAATCAGGTAAACGTCTTATCCCAAATAACATCATATTTTGTTCTATCAAAGGATTTATGGACAGCAAGTACAGAGAGCTCAACAAATATTTTAATTGGAGGTGTAGTAATCAATACAGTGCTGCCTAAGCAGTTTAGGGTGAGGAGTATGAGCCTATAGAACTTTTAACTAAAATGAAGACAATCACTATCATCACATCATAAGCTTATGCTACTGTCCCATTGGCCTTAGTTATAAAATTAATAGCTCGGAATATTATAGAAAACCTTAAATTATATGCAAAACTGAAAAGGAATTTGATATCTTTAAAATGTTTTAATGTTTTTAAAATCCTTCAAAGTTTAGAATTTGTTATTTGTAACACTTTACATATGTATAGCGCTTTACAGTTTAAATGTATGTAAAGGTGATTTGTAAACTCCACAACAATCTTAGGACAGTATTATCTACAAATGTAGCTAGATGACTATTTACAAAAGTGTAACTGTTCATTTCCTCTGTTTTCTTCCCAAAAGACAATCTACACAATACTTTATTAAAATGTACTAACTCAAACATCATAATCAAAAGTAATTGATCTGAGAGTATAATTTCTGTCTTTAAGCTAGAATAGGAAAAATTTATGGGACTGAGAAAAAGATAATGTTATTTTTAACATCTATGTTAATTTTCTTAAATAAGAATTCTCTCCTGGTTTCAGACAAGACGTTTAAAACACCCAGTGAATTTTAATACATCCTTACATAAACCTTACAGATTTAACCCTGTTAAAGCTGAATCATGGAAAATTAAGAGAAAAAAGGTTTAATCATATTTCACTATGAAACACTGTGACATAAAGCAATTTACCATCAATTTATTCAATGTAATGAAATCCAACTTTTAAAAATATCTGGAATCTTGACAAACTTGCATTTCTCTGCTTGCTTTTTATATCAAAGTTTTTGTTGCTTGGTCCCTGATTAAAAACTAAGGGTGAAGGCTAATGTTCTCAATTAGAAATCAAGGTAGCATCTGGGTACATGTATTAAACGTCCAGGTCACTGCTCACCTTGCCAGTGAGAAGTTCAAAGAGGACAGCACCCAAACTCCACCAATCACAGGCTTCAGTTTCTTCAGTGATTGCTCCAACCTCTAAACACACCAAAAAAGGTTGATATTAAAATTCCAAAGGTCAATTAAACTTTCAAAATTAACATGTATTAGCAAGGTGACCTTTTTAATGCTGAGAGAGCATATACGAAATACTACTGGGCTTTCAAAATTCCTGAAAGTTACTTATCCCTTTGGTCACCTACTGTGGTTGCATTTTTTTTTTTAATGCAGTCATATATTAAACTGAGACATTTGTTCTTCAGTTGATGGAGGGACACCTTCAAGATGTTTTACTTAAAAGTTACGTGAACCTACTAGATCAGCATTTTGCTTAATTTTTTAAATTTGAGAAAGTACAGCCAATTCTACTTCATGAGTGATTTTTTTGTTTTAGAAATAGACTCTTCAGGCTCTGAAGGAACTTTAAAAATTAAAACCAATATTAATTATCCTTTTACTTGCAGGTTAGAAACCAGAGAAATGAAATACCTTGTCCAATGTCATATTGTGGCAGAACCAAGACTTCAAGTATCATCCTCCCTCTCCTACATAATCAATTGTTTTCAACCAAAGGAGGAGCATGTGAAATGCAAATCCACCCATTTTGCTAAAGTACAGATAGATACATTGTTTTAAGCCACAACTGAAACTATTGGGTAAGATAAGAGATTTCAGAATATCTACAAATTACACTTTAATCTGTGTTATCCCTATCTCTCGCCAGCACAAGTTCCTGAAATGTAATTTGAGTTTTTAGGTGTCGTCTTTCAGGTTCCTGCACAAATCAGCACCAACTCCTCATTTCATCAGGTTTTTTTTTTTTTTTTCTTTAGGCTTTTAGCCCTTAAGTTATCTTGTGCTTTCCTAACAGCATTAAATTAGTCCCTAAGCCTTGCCAATATCTGCCCTTTCATTTCCGTTTGACTGAAAAAAAAAAAAAAAAAACAACCTACAATTCGACTATAGGTAACCCATAATTCATAACTATTTTCAGAAGTTTGTAAGTAGTCAGGTTGGAACTTGGAAAGTAAAACACGTAAGGGGTACTCACGTGTCCAGCCTTTTAACCAATGCTTGGTCAATCTACTTGTGTGGGAGAATCCCCAAACTCATAAAATAGCTTGAGCAATAGTTTTAAAGCAAAGGTTAAATATACCAGAAAAAGAAAAGAGCCATTACTATACAAAACACTGAAATTACTCCATTCAGCAAACTTTTTCTACATCCCTTTTTCTGAGGTTCAAACAGCCTATATAGAACTATATAGAACTCTACCCCTTCACAGCCCTTCCCTAGCCCACCCTCTTCCTGAAGTGCTTCATGCCAAATCAGTTTCCATTCCCCAACTAGCTATCCAACCACCTCTCAACTAGGTAATAAAAAGAAACCAGATATTAACTAATTCAAACTAGTATATGAATGACTCAAAGTCTCCTAATTTTCTTAGAACTATTTGTATTTATAAAATAATTGCTTGTTTGAAAAACTGATAACTACCTAACAATAAAGATTTAATCATATATGTTGTGGCACATCTGTATGATGGATTACTATTACAGAACCATTTTAAAAAGGGTGGCTTATGCCTGTAATCCCAGACTTTGGGAGGCTGAGGCCAGGAGTTCAAAACCAGACTGGCCAATGTGGCAAAGCCCCATCTCTACTAAAAATACAAAAATCAGGTGGGCATGGTGGTCGGCGCCTGTAACCCCAGCTACTTGGGAGCCTGAGGCAGGAGAATCACTGGAATCTGGGAGTCAAGAGGTTGGAGTGAGCTGAGATCACGCCATTGCACTCCAGCCTGGGCAACAAGAGCAAAACTCCATCTCAAAAAATAAAATAAGGCTGGGCACGGTGGCTCAAGCCTGTAATCTCAAAATAAATAAATAAATAAAATAAAATAACACCTACATATACTTAAGTGAATGTTTGTATATAAAATGTTTCTTAAAAAGCTATAAAATACAATTCTAATTTTAAAAGTACAAATTTACTAAAAAGACTGGTAAGAAAATATAATAACATGTTTTACTGATTTGCCTCTGGGATAGTGAGTTTTGCTTTTGTTTTTGTTTTTGTTTGAGTCAGAGTCTCATTCTGTAGCCCAAGCTGGAGTGCAGTGGCACAATCTCGGCTTCCTGCAACCTTCACCTCTGGGGCTCCAGTGATTCTCCTGCCTCAGCCTCCCAAGTAGTTGACAAGCAGCAATCATTGTAAATAAACTTCTTGCTTAATTAGGTATGAATATACAATTCGGCCTCCATAATAAGGCCTCAACCTATTGAATTCATTCAACCAACATACATGAAGCAGCACAAACTAGGCACTGTACTAGACACTATTGCTCCACAGAATTCTATGCGTTGGCCATACTGTTAAATAATGTGAAGCAAAAATCAGTTTTCGCACTAATGTAGTTAGTGATTTTATTTCTTAAGTACTCTTTTGTTCAAGAATTTCATTTAATCCATTTTCTTTAATCATATCACAAGCAGTGTATATTTCTTAGTATTATAAGGATCACCTAAGGTCAGGAGTTCGAGACCAGCCTGGCCAACATGGTGAAACCCCATCTCGACTAAAAATACAAAAATTAGCTGGGTGTGATGGTGTGCGCCTGTAGTCCCAGCTACTTTTAGAGGCTTAGAAAGGAGAACTGCTTGAACCGGAAAGCAAGGGTTGCAGTGAGCTGAGATTGTACCACTGCACTCCAGCCTGGGCGACAGAGTGAGACTCTGTCTCAATAAAAAAAAAAAAAAAAAAAATTATGCATTTACAATTCCAGATCCAAAGTTATCGGTCAACCATCAATTCTGAATGTGCCACCAACCAGCTTTACTTTCCATTTAGAATGTTGCTTCGTTCACAGTAGATACACACTGCAATAATGATTGTAGCAATAATAAAATAGCAGCTACCATTTCCTGACTGCTCACTACACGTAAGAAATCATGTAACACTTTACAAGAATTATTTGCAATTTCTAAGCAACCTTATGGAATAATTAATTTGGGCACGGTGACTTTGGGAGAGAATATTGTATTTGTGTGTCCAGGAAGAAGCAGGACATCTGATCCAGTTAGCTTGGAGAAATGTAAAAGTTAATGAGATGGTTTACAGGGTCTAACAACATGTGTTCAGGACCTCTAGACTGAAGCCACATTCTAAATCTCTGCTCGTGAGGTTCCCTGTTAAAACTGAGCAGAGGACTGCTGAGATGGGTCTACCTAATCAATGGCTAACATATTTATAAAGGTGCCTTTTAAATTCAGCAAAAGGGCCAAAGAGCCATCAACAATGTAGCCTAGATCCTCAAAAGCCACATGCTATGTTTGTTTTCCACACTACTGGGGGGAATGTCCACCCCAGATGAAATATGTTAGTGGAGAGGCATAGAGGGAGTGGGTTCTTGAAGCCACAAGATAAGCACAGTCCATATTCCTGAGCCTCAAAGACTTTGGTATGCGGGGAGGGGATGGAGTATTGTTTTACTATTCCTATTTTTTAAAAGAAACAGACCTATTATGGAACACAATGTAAAATTTGTATGGATTTGCAAGATAAAAAGACTTCAGAGAAACCTCAGAATCATATTTCACTTGTCCCCTGGGATACTCATTTCACATCAACTCTACAGTCAAGTACATAAGCAGAAAAATGTGAGAGGCTCTTTATGAGACAGACAACGTGGATTACTTTATTGGTTTCTGTAAACTTGCTCAACTGAGGAGTCTAAGAACTAGGTTTACTGGCTTTATGCTGCTTTGAAATCTCTAGTAAATAAGGACCAACGTACTGCTTCAAATGTGGATTGTCACAGTGTCCAATGAACCCCAATCTGAATGGGAGTTAACAGAGACAGAAGCAAGAGATCTAAAAATCCCCCAAAGGAAGCCTATGCAACCCACAGCCTGTGGGCTGCGTGCAGCCCAAGAGGGCTCTGAATGCCACCCAATGCAAATTCGTAAACTTTCTTAAAACATTATGAGATTTTTTGGAGACTTTTTTTTTCTAAGCTCATCAGCTATCATTAGTGTTAGTGTATTTTATGTGGCCCAAGACAATTCTTCCAATGTGGCCCAGGGAAGCCAAAAGATTGGACACCTCTGCAAAGCTTACTTACGTTCCCACTCTTCGGTGGGCTTGCTAGCTAGTCCAGGACACCAAGTGGCACCTGAGATAACTACTGGAGACACTTTAGTGCTGTCAGCCACAGTCTACCTCTTTCACTCCCCATTTCTTTTTCCATTTCCTGGATCTTCATCTCTTCTCTCTTCCACAAACAGCCTGCTTCATTTCCTCCTCATTGAGCTTCTTTCCTCCTCTTGGATATGATTAATTCAGCTTTCTTTTTTTTTTTGAGACAGAGTTTCGCTCTTGTTACCCAGGCTGGAGTGCAATGGCGCGATCTCGGCTCACCGCAACCTCCGCCTCCTGGGTTCAGGCAATTCTCCTGCCTCAGCCTCCTGAGTAGCTGGGATTACAGGCACGCGCCACCATGCCCAGCTAATTTTTGTATTTTTAGTAGAGACGGGGTTTCACCATGTTGACCAGGATGGTCTCGATCTCTTGACCTCGTGATCCACCCGCCTCGGCCTCCCAAAGTGCTGGGATTACAGGCGTGAGCCACCACGCCCGGCCTAATTCAGCTTTCTAACAGCACTTAGGCCTAAGGAGACTGCTGGTCCCATCTAAGACAAACTGCTTCTGAAATCATGAAGGCACAGCTAGGCTGAATGTAATCTTTAATTTGATTGTAGTAGTAGAGAAGGATAAGAACTGTAAAAAGGTAAATCGGTTTTTCATGGAAACGAGGAAAGAAGACACTGAACAGTTTTTAAGTCCATCCCCTTAAAAATGCAGCTGGAAACTGTTAAAATGACTTCATACCAAGCAGGGATTCATTAATTAATGTGAAATTGATATCATGACCAACTGTCCTTGATTTTCACACATGACTCTAAGCTACAATAAAGAGTTCTGTATTTAGGTAAAATATGAAGAAGAACTTCTTAACAGCTAGGAAGCTTAACTATTAG